TGTCTGTCTGTCTGTCTGTCTGTCTGTCTGTCTGTCTGTCTGTCTGTCTGTCTGTGTCTGGGTCTGTGTGTGTGTGTCTGTGTATGTGTGTGTGTTTGTGTGTATTTCGATATCTTGCTCTGCTGTCTTTCTCCCTCTCTCGATCTGTCTCATTCCATGTTTCTCTCACCCTACCGCCTATTTAAAGAGATCTCCAATATATCCCAAGATGAATAGGTCTCCGCCAGCCACCTTTTCCCGTTTGGAATTTCTCCCCACAAAGAATTCTAAACGTCTCTCTTAATTATTTGTGTTGATCTTAGCACAGCCATTCCGTGAATACTTACATGGAGGGGTTTTTTATTCTCATAATTTATAGTTTATTTTTATTTTCTCTTAATGCCTTTAACTGTGATCTGTTTACCAAAACAATGCGTTATGAGATAATTATAACGGCGTCAGAACTATTATTTTCGTCTGAAGATGCCTATGATGAACGTTAGTCGGTGAAGGAGGAGGAGGAGGAGGGGAGGGTGCAGTAGGGTTGAGGTTTTTGTGATTTCTGAGCGAGATGAAAGTGGAACACAAGAGGCGATAGTTTACTGTGCAACGCTTCCCTGTGGTTCCTTGGTTTGGTTTTGATGGGTTTGTTAGGTTTTGTTTTGTTTTTTGTTTGTTTATTTGCTTGTTTTTTGTTGTTGTTGTTGTTTTTTGTTAGTTGGTTTGTTTGTTGGCTTGGGGTTGTCGTGAAGTTTGTTTGTTATCTTGGAGGGTGTGAGTGGTTGGCGGGTGCTCTAGTGTGGTTTGCTTCTTCTTTCCTATCAAACACCTAACGTCTTTATCTCCCCTCCGTCTTTTGTGTGTGTGTGTGTGTGTGTGTGTGTGTGTGTGTGTTTGTTTGTTTGTCACTCTCTTGTAACAACTTTAATCTTGGGCATTTGTATGACCTTATTGTGTTGCAAATTCCGTAAAACTCTGACTAAAACTAAACTACTAAACTATATTGCAGGGTTTGGGTTGTTTCTTGTGGGGGTTTTTGCTTGTTTTCCTTTTTAGGAGGAAAGATGGGGGAGGGGGGGGGTTGCAGTGCCGTTTCTTTTTGTTTGGGGCTGCAGAAGAAGAATGCGTTCGCCAGGTGCGAAAATGCGTCACCGGGTGGAACTTCTCTGCTCTAGAACGTGAATTGCTGAGGAAGGGGGG